AGGCTGCCTAGTTGCTTCACTGACGGCAACTTGCATTCCTGTGAATAGAGCTTTCAGAGGCCCAGCCACTGGGAGCAGCACATCTACCCTGGGCTCCCCTGTGGTCAGGGGACAGAAGGGGAGAGAGCATTCCAGGAGGCAGAAAAATGATTCCAAGAGCACTTCTGCCTCCATCTCACCTACTGCCAGCACCTGCGCATTCTTGCAGAAGGACCTGGAATGTGTTAGCCCTTTAGAGAACTTACCAGGCTCTCTGAATAGGTCCACCCAAGCCCTCTAACAGCCCTGAAAGGAGACCGAATTTCAGCCAAGAAGAGCCCAACTGTCAGCAGAACAGAGAGTTAGGGAGGGCATGCCCTCCTACCAGCTTACCTGCTGCACGGTGCTGCGGCTCCACTTAACTCCTTACTTCTTCATCGCTTCTTTTTCTTTTCAATTATCCCCATGGCACTCTTTTCTCTTTTGCTCTCCACAACCCAACTTCTGTGTGATGTGGACCAAAAAAAAAAAAAAAAAGTCAGAGCTAGAAAGAAACTTGTGTCATCTAACCCAAGGCATCCCAAGCCCTGGCAAAATCACTTAAGAGGTTTTTTAAAATACAGATTTCTAGACCCTACCTTAGACCTGCAGTAGTAAATAACTATTGCTTTCGTCTGTCGAGGCATGGCTTTCTTCAGCGTTTCTTCAGAGAACTTTTCTTTCCCCAGCCTACATGGTTCTCCTAGGACTAGCAATTCCATGATGCACGGCCCTAAGATAGGTACATGATCCAAACTGGGCTAATCAGTCATCCCCAGTGCTATCAGACTCAGTGGAGGAAAGACTAAAGTGTCCCTTTCCCACTGGTTGCCTAATCGAAAAAAATGCAACCCACTCTCCACACAGTGGTAGCCCTATTTCCTGCCAACTAGAAGAAACTTATCTGCAATGAAGGAAAGTGAAAATCAGAGAGAGTTCTGACCATATCTGCTAAGTTCCTGAGGCAAATTCTATCTCCAAACTCCTCTGTCTCCTGGGTCAACAAATTCTCTTGCTTTGCTTAAGCTAGCTTTGAGAGTTTCTGTCATCTGTGACCGAAAGTATAGGGATTAATACATCTACTGAGTCAATAACTCAAAGGTTAGGAAACAGAATCTGAAATTTTGAAAGATGTGCAGGGATTTCTGATGTAAGGCTAGGTTTAGGATATTCTGATAGACCAACCCCTCAGCTTATAAGGATAAAAGCTGAGATCCACATAAGGGATTTGATAATAACGATGAGGTAGAATTTAGTGAGCACTTACTACATGCAGGACTCAATGTGAAATGAGTTATATGTATTACTTCAATCCTCAGCACATCACTTTGAATTTAGTATGTTTACCATATCTATTTGCTTGTTTACTGTGTCTGTTTTATCTACAATTATACATCTACCACCTTACCACCTAGCACAGTGCCTGCAACATAGTAGGAGCTTACTAAATACTTGCAATATTGAATAAATTTTACAGATTAATACAATTACTAGCAGCAGCAGTAGTAGTAGTAGCAGCAAGGTTACTAACATTTACTGAGTGTTTATTTTGTGTTAGATTCTATTCTAAGTTCTTTTTAAACATTAGCTTAATTGTCTGAAAAAGCTTTTAAGGTAGGTTTCTGTAATCCCCATTATGATAAGAAAACTGAGTCACGGAGATGTCAAATAATTTCCCCAAGGTCACATAGCTAGTAAGCAGCAACACTAAGATTCAAACCCAGGCAATCTGGCTCCAGCGTCCCTGTTCACAACCACTATGCTATACTGGTTTAATTAACTTATTCAGAATGACCAAGCTACTGAATAGCAGATACAGAATTTGGGCCTAGGTTTGTCTGAGTCCAAAATCTGCACTTTTTAACCACTACTTTATACTTCCTGCCTGTGGTTAATTGTCTGACAGTTCATGGTAGTCCACATAAATGGTCCTGGGGTCGTGCAATATACAATCTGCCTAGCTCTTGTGGTGACCCTCATAATATGATTCGAAACCAAGTATCCTGACTTCTAGAGAGGAATAGTTAGGTGTGATCAAAAACAGCCCTCGCTGGGCCAAGTACTGAAACCAAGGTACAACTGTTTGCCTCTTGTGTCAGTTTGGATACTGCAAGAAGCAAAAGCCAAGATGGAATTAGAAGTATAAGAGATTTATTGAAGGATAAATGGAAGAAGGAACAGGAGTATGTGGGAAGAGTTTCAGACTACAAGGAAGTTCTGTCAAGAGAGAAAGGAGAAGGAAGATTGGGTTGGAAGAGAATCTGTCCAGTTGCAGCAAAGCTCCGAGGAAATGTGGGCCAGGTCAGTGGGGAGCCCAAGGCAATGCTGGCCCAGCAGAGGAGTCCTGCTTTGGGCAGAAACAGCCTCACTCCAGAACACCTTGCTCAGTCATTACTTGGGAGCAGCCCAGTGACAGCACAGCCTTGGCATAAATGCTGTGGCTGATCCCTAAGAAGTGGCTGTCAGAGCTGCTGGTCATCCACACTCCTCTCAACTGGTCCTCTTAAAGATAGATCTGGCCGGAGCCTTCCCATGGCTGCCACAGCCCTGTACTGGGAATCAAACTCCTCTGGAGGAAACACCAAGGAGCCAGTCATAGGAGAGAAGCAGTGTTTACAATTGCTCCTGGCACATAAATAACACTGCTGCGTACATTTGCTTTCAAACCTTGTGTTGGTTTGGCCTTACTAAAAGCCCATTTAGTGAAAAATATGTTTTCCTGAAGAGGGGTAGGTGGGACTTTTTCTTGTTTATTTTTCTGTGGACACATTTAAATTGCCACAAAGAAGTTACTATGGAAACTGCTCCCAAACTTGCAAGATAAAGGGTAAAAATGGAACACTTTGTTAAAATGCAAATGATTAGCCTTTAGAGACCAGAGCACTTTTTAACAAACTCTCCTTGTCTGGCTCTTCTGAGTCCATTAAGGGCTCTCTTAAATCAAAGGTAGACAGGCAGGTTTTTTGTGTTATATTCTAGATGGCATTGGTCAACTGTGAAAACACCACAGGTGACGACTCTGGAATAAATCTAGACACTTTCAAACTTGTTGGATCAGGCAAAGTAGATAACAGTATTGTACTCTCTGGGTAACTCTGGTGAAGCTGACTATGAATTACTATGAATGTGCAAACAGGCCGAGGGCAGGGAAGGTGATTATTTTTATGCCAGGCTCATTCTGCTGGTGTACCCTGAACCCGCTTGTTTGAAAGTTAACTTGCTGAGCTCTTATTTATGGGAAGCAGTTTCCCTTTCTTATCTCCCCAGGCCACATTCCACCCTTTGAATCTTGAGCTGGACAGTCCTTTCAACACGAAACACAAACTTCTCATTCGAAAGGCCCATTTCTCTGCCTATCTCTTTACCTGCCCCTCCCCACCCACTCTCCAACTCACTTTACTTCTGTCTGCCTGAGCAATCCTATCTTGACAAAGCTCTCAGATAGCTTTGTCCTGATTTCTGCTTTTTGTACTTTTCTGCCTGGCAATTCTTTCAACTTGCTTGTCTTGTTGAAATCCCGGAAGTCTTACTGAAACCCTTTTTCAGAGGTGCTTCCAGTTATTAAGTGGATGCAATACGAAGGGGTGATTTGACCTGAAGAACTAACTGAGGGGTCACATGTTCTAGATTCTTGATTTGATATCATTGTTACCTAGCTTCATGACTAGCAGCAATCAATTTCAGGTCTCCTTTGTGAATCAGGGTCATCATCTGTTCCCTTCACCAGGAATTCTTTTCTTGCAGTTGTTTTGTTTGTTTGTTTTTTGCCAGCTCCTTTTTATCATTCAAGTTTCAGCTTAAATAAAATGTCATCAGGGGAATTCCCTGGCGGTCCAGTGGTTATGACTCCAGGCTTCCACTGCAGAGGGCACGGGTTCAATCCCAGGTTGGGGAACTAAGATCCTTCATGCCAAAAAAAGAAAGTCCTCAAAGAGGCTCTAAATACTCCCTAATGTTATTTTCCTCGAACATCATTCTTCATAACATTATCTTCTGTTTTCTTCAAGCACTTTCTATCTGCAATTATCGTAAATGTTCCCTTGATTACTATGTTTTCCTCCAAAGGACCTTTAAGAGCCAAGAGAGCTGAGGCCTTGTCTGTCTTCTTCCCAGCTGTATTCCCCACTCCTGGCACACAGAAAATGCTCTGTAAAAATTTGTATAATGAAAAAAACTATAAAATTTAAGCAGTTGGACCAAATGAACTTTAAGGTTGCTTGTGGCTTTAACATGAACACTGTCAAAAATGAGTAAGTTAAAAATAAAATGACAACAACCATTTAAATAAAACAATGAATGCAGTGTGGATGTATACTTACGCTTTAAGGATATACACCTGCCAAGTTCTTGGGCCTGTCATAGTGTTGTACTGCTGTTTTTATACAGTTTCCCAGGGAGTATGAACTGAATTTCTGAGCTTTATAATACAGTATTTAACAAGGATATCAAGTAGCTGTCTAAATATAAGAGCCCCGTATCACAGAATTAGAGTGGGATAGGTTTTAAAATACAATCTCTTCAATTTACAAGGATGTAAACTAAAGCCCTGGGAAGGAAGTATATTTGGACATTTGGAACCAAATTCAGCGTTGCTTCTGTCAGTGAGGAATACATACACCAATCACACTTCTTTATATGTAATCATTATTCATAACATAATAATGCTTTATATTGGAAAAACAAGTTTGTGTGACGAGATTCTATACCGGTGGTTCTGAAATGTGAGCATGGAGGATTTGTTAAGGCACACACTGCCGACCTCACCCCTAAAGTTTCCGGTTCTGTGGGTCGGGGGCTGGGGAGGGGTGCGGAGAACCCCGAGAGTTTAAGAGGAGCCCTACTAATCTTACCTCAGGAACTCTCTCAGCTTAACTGGCCCGCTTGGCGCGCTGAAAGAACTACAAGTCCCAGCGTGCCCCGCGCGCAGCGGGAGGAAAGTCGGGCACTTCCGCTCCACGCAGAGCCTCTGTCCCCGCGTCTCGACGTGTCACTGGCGGCGCCGCGGCTGTGGCACGATAAGGCGCTGACTGGGGGAGTTTGAGGCGGCGGCGACCTCGGCCTGGATCTGTCCCGGCACGGAAGGGTTCTGGGGTCCGTGGGGAACAGGAAAGGGAGGTGGCGGCTCAGCCCGCTCGGGGCACGATGTTGAACATGTGGAAGGTGCGGGAGCTGGTGGACAAAGCGTGAGTATCTGGGGTCAGTTGTGGCCGAGGCCCACGCGGGGGAGGGGCGGGGGGAAAGGGGAGCCTGGTGTGCGCGCGGGGCCTCCCGCGTCACGCCCCCCGTGTCGGCCGGCCCCATCATGGCGGCGTCCGGCTGTCTCCTCGGCCCCGGGCCGCGTCCCGAACCGCCAGTCTGGGAAGGGACCCTTCCTCGTTCGAAACATCCTCTTAGCCCCCTTCTCTCCTATGCAGGCCGTCCTCACCCTGCCCCTACCGCCACCCTTCTAGGCACAGACACTTTGGTCGGGGAGGGGGCGGGGTTGTCTAGAGATGGGTCAGTGCCCTGGCCGGAGAGCTGTCTTGGCCCCAGGCTTTGGGCTTTTGACTCCTGGGCAGCAGCGAAAGCTTGTGGGTGGAGGACTCACTTCACTGGCTCTCTGTGCACCTCAGAGTGTGGTGCAGAGACCTTAGGCCTGGTCGGGAGGTGTCCTTTACCTTGCTGGGTTTCTTTTAATTCCTAATGAACCTGAAGTGTTGGAGTGGGTGGTAGGTGTAACAAGTGGCCACTGTGGTCAGACTGAAGTTACTCAAGAGGAGACTCATCCTTCGCTTTTCTAACATCAGTGAGAGTAGATCACCACATAGCTTACTGTGATTCTTTTCCTCTGTTTCCTTTTCCACTACACTTCATTTTTGGAGGGCCACTTGTTCCATTTGGTTTAATTAAGAAGTCATTGAATTAACAAGAAATTTCCCCTAAAGAAGGAAACAACCCAGGTTTATATCCTGTTGATCTACTTTTAACTTCCCTGACAGGTAAAAAGACTAATATATAGTTGATTTTCTTTAAGATTTAAGTCGTAACTTTAGTATCTTACACTTAAATTGAGTGTATCAGATAGATAACAATGGTTAAGTAAGGTCTGCTAGGCCAGCAGGAAATAAAGTTTAAGAATTTTCCCCTTCCTCTCGGGTTTTAGTGATGATACAACGTGTGGTGACAAAAACATTTCATTTGTGCCACTTACCCAACCTAAAATCAGGAACTGTAGATGGCAAATTCTTGAGGCTTTCTTGACCCCAGAAAAAATAATTCATTAAGGGATACAAACTACTAGGTATAAAATAAATTAGATCCAAGGATGTAATGTACAGCACAGGGAATATAGCCAATATTTTATAGTAACTTTCAACAGAGTATAATATATGAAAATATCTAATTGCTGTTGTATACCCGAAGCTAATATTATAAATCAACTATACTTCAATAAGAAAAAAATTCACAGTGGCTTGGGTAATACATCAGATAGAATTTAGAGTCTGACCATATTTTCAAGTTTTCTGTGCTACCAAGAAGGCAGTAGAGTGCCTAAGGAGCACAGGTTTGTGAACCTGCAGAGCTGGATTCAAGCTCTGTAACCTTGGCAGATTACTTAACCTTGAAGTGCCCCAGTTTTCTCAGGTGCAGTATGAAAATATGATAGATACTTAGAGTGTTGTTGTGAGAATTAAGGGCTAAGGACTTAGCATATAAAGCCCTTAATACAGTAGGTTTAGATCAGTATGCTTTTGATAACTATAGCAGATGTTCTGCATCAAGAGTAAGATTAAACTTCATTAAGAGAGAAGCTCCATGTTTAGAAAGTGATTTGGTGATTTTGCTTTATCAACTATTTATTTGACCGTTAAGTTCTCAGTCCTTTATTTTAGGTTTGTTTTGCTATTTATATAACCTTTGCTTTCCAAAGATAAAATAAAATCATGTTGCCTTTTTTTTTCAGATCCAGGTTCGTTGGTTTTTTAATATTTGGTGTAAGTCTAGGATACCAGCTTAAATAGTCTTTAAAAATCCAAAAGCCTCTACAAAACTCTCTCTTTATTTCTTAGCCAGATGACAGTGGAAGAAAAACCACTAAAAAAACACGTTCTTATCTTAGGGGACTAAATCTGTAGTACTCAAAAATTTGAAGAGACTGTACATTTTTTAGGAGACAAATCAAGGCAATATTTCTGCTTTAATTGTTCATTTCATATTGTTTTTAACACTTTTGTTACTAATTTTCAAGTGCTTCAGGTTAAATTTGTCACATAAATAGTCAGCAAGTCAATCTAATGGAAGAGCTGCTGTTGAAAAATAGCTTCTCTCTTCCTTTTTACTACCCAATTTAGAATGGAGACTTGAACCAAGTTATTCAAGAACATGTAAGAACGTTGCCACCAAGGACTTTTTAAAGATTTCGTGGGTGTCTGACACATGATATTAGGATTACAACATGAGGTTATTTTACTGATGAATACTCAGAACTTAATTTTCATCTTTCACTGGCAGGAGAGAAGAAATTGTTCCCCCCAAATGAAAGCATTTTACAGAACCAGTACCTGTGGCACTGTGTGCATTTAGACTCTTCACCTTAAATTGCCATAATGAAGGTGAAGCAGATCCATAGAACCGCTGTTCTGATTATCAAGGGGATAAGGTGATGAGGAAACTTGCAAATGAGGAAACAATGAAGTGACTAAGGACTGCTCTGAGAGCTTTGTTGAATAGAAATGAGGCTTTATATGATAGAGCACTGGTTAGAGGTTTAGGAGACCTGGGTTCAGGTTCTGATACTGCCTTTTAAATTAGCCGTATGTCTGATCTGAGGCAGACTCATATGACTCTCTAGACCTTGGATTCCTTATCTTTAAATTGATGGGATTGGGCTAGAGTAAGACTTTTGCCAACAATATGCCAATATGCCAATATGCCAACTGGCATATTGGAGGCATGAATTTCTATCAGGGGGCAAAGAAACAGAGCAGATATTTCATAAGAGCAGATAAATTTTAGGAAGTCATTATCCTCCAGAGACAGTTTCAGCTGAAAAAGGAATTTTGTTTAAATGTGGCAATCAATAAATGTTATATTTAAATGCTTTATGCAGTAAATAAGTGCAACCCATGACTCTGGAAAATTAGGACTTTCATTTAGCATATATCCCTACCTATTAAGGTTTACTTCAGAAAGAAAAATGTGGTCTTTCAAAATGTGTCCTCTGGAGCTACTGTTAGATCCAGCATGGTGGCAGTTCTTAAGTATAATGATATATTTCAAATACTGGCTTTTGAGATTTTATGGAAGGTTGGGGAGGTATTTTCCACAATTGTTGCACCTGCTGGTGGTATTAAATGGCTCTGTTTTGCAGAACATTGTGGAACTGAGGAAAAGCAGATAAAACCATAGGCCAGCCAGAGCTTGGAGTGCCAGTTTCCTCCCACTTGTACTTGAGTTGCATTAAAGAGAGCTGTGGCAGGAGAGGATAAGTGGCACCACTCCCACCAACTGGGAAAAGCTTGACCATTGTCATCCTTTGACCTGCCTCCCTTTATTTGAGGCTGTAATAAAATTGAACAGTTTTATATTTTGTTATCCTGTTTATCGTATAAATTGAAAGTTGCTACAGTTCTGTTGTCTTTTTTCTTCAAATTTTGGAAATGCAGTGAAGGTAACCTGGTAGTGGTCAATCAAACTGCTACTTACTGTTCAAGCCCAGCCAATCCTTCTCTTTCATGCAGGGAGTAGTATTAACAGTAAATCTATTTCATCAGTGGCCCCTATTTTTTTTTATGATAGTGATTCAAACAGGGCTGGCCAAGGTCCTAAGGCAACTGCTATAGATACTCCATTTTAAGTTATTCTCTTAAGCATAGCTTGCATTTTTTTCCCCCATAAGTTGATTTTTTGGTGTTACTTGCATGATTTTAGTTTCTAAATGGTCACATAATGTAATAGAACTGTGGAAACTACTGATCTAGTCTAGCTGACTCCAGAGGGAGAACCCTTTGCTTTTATAGAAAATATTTCATTCAGTTATTTCAACAGATAATACATTTATTATTTCTTGGAATAGTACTGTATTTTCTGAACTTGAAAAATACAATACCTGCCTTCAAGAAATTTGCCACTGCAAATTGGTGCACTTGAACTTATCATTGGTTTTCCACTTCAGTCCTCGGATGTGTTCCCCCTGTTTCCCTATCTTACCAGTAAATCTCTGTTCAGTTTGCTTCTTAGAACTTGAAAACAAAGGTGATTTTCAGCTTTCTAGTTTCCCCCATCAACTTTTCTTTAAACCAGTTGTTATTGCTGTAACAGTAAATTCATTATCCTTCCTTCCTCTCTTCTAGTAACTGGACACAAGTAGATATTAAGAATTTAATTGCAAAGAAAGATGATTTTATCTTTGCCAGCATTTCTTAGGAGTGATTTTCTGTAGTTCAAATTAGTCTGTTTAGTACCATTGCCAAGGTGCTTTTAAAAAGCTCTTAGCTGCCTCTTACATTTTCCTGTGCCCTTCCTGTTTTCAAGTAGTTTTTCATTTGTTTACTATGCATCCACTCAAAGTATTTGGCCTTTTTAATTTTAAGTACCACTTAATAGTACTCACTCCTAGGTTTTACAGTATGACTCCACAGTTGAACCTTTTTCTGTGCTCTTGTATTATTTTCTTACTTATTTCCAATGTTTATTTAATATTTCCTTTAAGAAAAAAAGGAAGAGTATAGGCAGCTTAAATAACTTTTTTTAGTCTTGAAGAAATTTTATTGTTTTATCTTTAATATTTAGATCTGTCTGGTTGGAATTTACTTTTTGGCTTTTATTATGGAAGATTTCAGATATATCCAAAACTGGAGGGACTGTTGTAATGAACCTCTGTGTACACAGACCTAACTTCAACAGTCTGACTAGTCTTGCTTTATCTGTGCCTCTGCCTCCCGCCCCCACTCCGTATTATTTTGAAGCAAATTCCTGACACTGTATCATTTCATCTATAAGTATATCAATCTACAAAAAGTAAAGAGTCAACTTTTTTTTATCATAACCATAATACCATTATCACACCTTTTAAAAAGGATGATTACTTAATATCAAATGCCCAGTTAGCATTTGTTTCTCATTTGCCTCATGATTCCTCTTTGATGTTTCTGAGTTGGTGGGTATCTCTTGATTCTTTTAATGTGTAGGCTCAATCTCTGCC